AAAGATTCTGTTCACCTACAACTAGGAACTCGCGGACGGCCTTAAAAAAGAAAGCGAAATTTGAAGTAAAGACGTACAGTTTAAAATCTCCTCAAAAACAGTTAATCGTGGTAAGTTGAGTAAACAAAAACTTCAATCGCCTATTTCTTGCGAATAAAGGCCCTACACTGAGGAAATATTACGAATGAGCTCCATAAGATATGCTTATGAAATTTCGACAAAAGAATAAACTTTGAAATTCATAAGAAGTTCTTATGAAATGACGTCAGTGGCGTTGATGTTCTTTTTCATACTATGGTCTTGAATTTTTCATAAGATAATCTTATGAGCGGACCTCTACTCTATTTTATGGATTTCATAAGACACTCTAATGGAATTTAGTGTATGTATTATGGAGCATGTTTAACATTCATAATACCGAACCTGCAATACATTTTGCTGGCTCGGTGTAATAAATGTTAATTTATTATTAAAGTTCATATAAAAGCCAACATATTCTATTTAAAAATACATTTATTTCTATATAAGAACTTATTACTTATCTCGTGTACTCTGAAAGGGGGCCCATCTATGGTTTCAATATTTATAACACTCAGTTCATTTAATCTTTCTATTGCTTCTGTGGCAAGATAATGCTCATCGAATGATCCTACAGTCCAGTGCCTAACAATGGCTAGAAAATATTCTAGGTGTTTTATAAATTCTTCGATTTCAAATAAATTCGTTTGAGCTTCAGTACTTTGAGTTACGAACTGCCCTGAAGAAAATTGGTAACCATTAAAAGATAATACTGAGGTAAACTCAACGGATTCATGTTTATCGAAAGGCAAATCTGTTACCAGTTTATAATATGGCCTAGAGGAAATATTACTTCTTTTGAAATTACCTTGGGGAGGTGTTGCTTGGAAGCTGTTATTATATATATCGTAACTAAATTGTAAGCATGATTTCATGCATAATGTGTATGCTACGTTTGTACGAGAAGTTATAATATGAGCATATTCTTTGATAGCTTGATGTTTCGCTTCATTTCTGAAGCACATCATCCGTGAAATAGGACCACAGTCTAAAACAACCTTAGGATAGTGTAATAGAAAGTGATGTTTTGGCTTGAGAGACGCTTTAAATAGTGTTTGATACAATGAATGATGCTTACTAATCATTTTTTCTAGATTTTCTACATCTTGCAGAGTAAATTTTTTGGAGAGAATTTGATCAACCATTCTCAACAAACTCTTACAATACTCCCAAACGAGATCGTCAGATGGTACATAAGGTCCAACAATAAAAGTAAAATTATGGCAGAAGGCCCTCATCTCATCAGCACTCATCCGCATTTTAATAGTTTTATTTTTAGTTTTGCTATCGTAACTGTAATCAAGATCTGGCATTCTTCGAAGACCGGCATCTAATGATACTTGGCTGACTATATTTTTACGAGTATTAACATTAGCAAGAGCTAGAAATTTCTTATCATAAAGAAAATAATTCAAAGCTTCTATGAGTCCATATTTACAAACACCATTGCTGAAAATGTCATGCATGGCATCAACACTTGGGTTTTGAATGACGTGGAATGAAGGAAGCTGGTTGAATATTGATGGTCCTGCTAAGCCTGTTAGTGAATGATCTTCTATTAATATATCTTCATTATAATTCTCTATGGTTCGAAGATCAGTTGTGCATACAGCACAATCCGTTTGAAGTTGTTTTTTGTGTCTTCGACAAAAACGGCAGTAAAAGGTAGCATTAAATCCTTTCGATAGTGACAAAAGGGAATGAACCCCTAGGTTGTCACCTTGAAACAAACTCAAAATAAATCTCACTTTTACATTTTCCCCTTCGAGCTGAACTATAAGACCTTCTTCTTCTAATTTCTGGAACGGTACGACTAACTTTTTGACCAAGGCTTCGACACCTGCTTGTTGAATAACAACCTTCCTTACAGTTCCTGCTACTAATATATTACTCAGCTTAGATATCATATTGTCTGGAAGACAAGGACAGTGGAAATAAATTCCGCACACTGAGTCCACTTTATTGTGTGATCCTTGGGCATCATTAACCTCAAATTCGTCCGCGTATATCCATAAAGGGATAATGTATCTGGTAGATTCATCTGACTTGTATTTGTTTTTTATATCTTTGCACACCCTGCCATTGACAAAATTATTAATACTTTCAGAGTTTTCAAGCCTTTCAATCCGATCTAAGACCTTCCTCAAATTGTTTCCTGTTTCAAAGTACTTTTTTAATTGGAATTGTATTGGGTTTAGTACCAGACAACTTTTTCTACATCCTTTGGCAACAATATCATTGTCAACTGTTGGTTTATCATTTTCCAGGGTATAAATTACAGGTGGTTCGAAAATTCCAGTGTCTTTCAAATGGTTGAGAAACTTATGCTCTGTGTTAATTTGTTCGAATGCAGTTTTGCTAGTTTTTAATAATGTTTCAAACCGGTATTGTAAGTCCTGATCGTTATTTTTTAGGTTTAGAGCTTCGATGTTGTTTAATATTCCTACACAAAATTTTTCGGTGGCTTGTTGAACTTCCTGCACGTCATTTCTACTGAAATTATTTTTCTTATGCAAACTTAAAGTGAATTCCAATGCCAATTTTTGTTGCATGTTGCATGTATCAAATGTCTCTGGACCTCGCTCTGGATATTCGTTGCTTATTTGATATTCTAACTTCTGCAACTTGTTTGGTATTACATTCTCATTGCTATAACTTTTCTTTTCTTGTTCTGACTCATTGGATTTTTCATTGAAACGGTGATTCAACATATGCTTCTTAAAATTATTAAAAGTACTAAAAATTTGGGGACATACAGGAAATGTGCACTTCAGATCGAAACTGGATGGAGTCTTGTGATAATCGGAAATATGACTTACTAAGCTAACAGCAGTTGAAAACTGCTCCCTGCAATCTTTTATGGGACAGTTGATGAGCGTTGTTCAAAAATTCGTGTAGCTTTTCAATGTTCCTATATGTATTTTTGCTGTAGATACCGTAAAGATGGTGACGGATGAAAATCCAGACCAGTTTTGAAATTTTGGAAACAGGTATTCTCAGTACAGTTGTTAGCTTGAGGAATACATCAACTCCTCTTGATATGTTGGTTAACTTGTATTCAAGATTTTTGTAAATAACCAGGCATCCGTTGTTCGGCGACGAAAAGCTATAGCAAACAAACTATACCAACAGGTAGATGCAAGTCAATAAGGAATGAAATCAAACATTTATACTACATTTATAGAACATGATCTGTCCAGTAATTTCAGAAAATTAGATGCAGAAATATTGTTTTTTAAAAAACATCGTTATAGCTTTTAAAATACCAAAGAAGTTTTTTGTTAATTCTATATAACTTTTATACAACAATAGTTTTTTTTCGAAAACATGTTTTCTGTGTTACTTGGGTAACAACCGACGTCCCTCCTTTTTTACATATTTTGCTAAACACATACTTTCTAGGCCCCGCAACTGAAGCAGAATGATGTGCAACCAAGTGGTATTCGTTTATGATGACTGGATTTGGGAAAATGGCTTATTTCATGAAAACAGTGATACAATTCTAGATAGAGCTGGAATTAGGGCGTAACAGCTTTTGTAAACAATGACTTCTCTCGTTGATTTATGAGAATTCAAGGCACGCCTACACTGCCGCTCTTCGCATGTCGGTCCCATAGCAGTTTTTGTCAAAACTGAGTTTTACAATGCAAATGGTAGCTGACCACTCATATTTTCTTAATACTGGATGAACTCAATAACTTTGTTCTGAAAAAGTTTGGAAAGACAGCCAAATTGGTTGTCTCATCACATAAGAAGCAATGGTACGAATCAAGCTAAAAATGCGATTTTCTCGGCTTGCTGATTTTTGCCATGGGACCGACATGCGAAGAGCGGCAGTACACAAACCAACATATCCATCGGGTAGGGGAAGTCTTCCTCTACTCAATGGTGATATCGATTTGCCACGGCGAGTCATGACTTTCGAGAAATTATCGAGAGAAGTCATTGTTTACAAATGCTGTTACGCCCTAATTCCAGCTCTATCTAGAATTATCATTTGTACATTTTCAAAAGTTCAATTACAGAAAAATTGGAAAAGTATTTATTTCAGCAGGTTCGTAATGTAATATCCTATCGATTGGCGTATTTGGATTTAAATTTCATCTATAAATGACAAAGTTACAAGCGTTCAAAACCTAACACTCTTTCACCACACATATTTTTTGATTTGCACCCCAGTATAGTCGACAAAGACGTAGTTCTACGTCAAAATATTTTTAGTTCATTGGCGAGTTCATCTCGTAAACTCACTGACAGAAGCTTTACAAGTAACGACGGTCAGAGATGAAATTTAGTTACAGCGATACCTGGTAGCTGTAACGACGGATTTCTCAACCATTTCTATACAACAAGAACACCCCTCTGCACAACGATGATTATTTTTGAAGATTTTCACATTTATTCTTAAATGACAACTTGAATCGCAAATAGCGGTACAACGTGCATTTAGCTTCTTACAGGTTATCGCTCACTTGTTTTACTGCGGTGCTCATTGTTGACAATTTGTCGATTTTCCTTCCGATTCTTGCGCGTTTCAACTTTTCCGATTTCAGGATAAACTTTTTCAACAAAACATATAATAAAATAGAACTCTTTTCACGTTTCCCACGCTAATCTATTGCCAGGTTCGTCTCTGGAACAGACTCCTCTCATCGTTCTAAACTAACAGCAATATGTAACGCAAAATATAAAACAATCAATGATCAACAGTACCATAGTTGCAGTTTTCCAGTTCCGATCTACGTACTTTTTTCAACTTTTGTATGTCATCTGTCTTCGCTTCACGGCAGCACTTCCTCTAACACTTAAGGCTTTTCCAGGTGGCGGGGGGCCTCCCTTTGTTTTGTATTCATTTTGTTCTACGCATACATGTATGCATGTTTGTTTGTATGTTATTAAAAAGAGATTTTTTTTGGCACAAATTCCATCACAAACGAATCACATTTTTTCTATAATAGGTTTGTTTTCATCGATTCACTCGTCTTCTTCGTCTACTTCTCTAGAAACGACATTTTTCTTAAGATCTTCATATTTTCATCATTTTTTTTTGTCGATATTTGATTGTGTATAAAAGCTTATCAGTATTTATAGTATGTGTGTATCTGTGTACCTTATAATGTCCGGCGTTAGTTTGACTAAAAAGTATCACCGAAAATTGATAAGAACATTGTTAGAAAAAGAAAAACCTTGTCCGATCGAATTCGATTCGGAGTAATCTAAATCTTTCCAAAAGATTCCAAAATTACGATTTCATGGACAAATTTATCGCTTTTTGTATGGTTGAACACATTCATTTTCCTAGAAAAAATGTCTTGTAATACAGGTTTTTCCATTTTTTTTTTGATGTTTTTCGCGAAACAATATAAAACTGTTTGGCGGTCGCATTTAATAAAAACATGGACTAGGTTCGACAGGATCGATATAATATCAATCGTTGTTATATGCTTTCGCGTCAAAGAAGTGTATTGATAGAATGTTGGGATTGGATGTTTAGTTGAAATTATACAGTAATGTGTTATCAAATTATGACTTTCCAAATGGCATTATCCGGTGGTATTCAATGAACGTTCACGCGATAGTTAAAAATATGAAGAAAAAACTAGGGGGTATCAGCAAATCTTGAATAATCTAGACTTCGTACCGGAGTTGAGATCAATTCGGAACGTGAAGCACCACCAAATAATCCATCCGGCTATCCCATTTTTTGTCTTCTACGCTACAGGGAATCGATTTGTGCGACTTTCGTGTGGGTTAATCATCGACCGATATTTCATATTCTTTGTTTCCTAGCTACAAATTAAAACAAACAACTAATTATCTCATCCTGTTACGGGACGTGTTAAAATTACTTCAATGCCCTGATCGTATTCCGTCCTTGCTGGACTCCCTCCTACAAGTTGGTTAGTTACATCATTTGCTTTTTTGCTTGCTCTACAAGTATATCACCAGATGAATATTCCTTCTCTTATCAGCTTTCAGCTTCTTTTGCGTATTGTTTCCCAACTGAAAAGCAATACCCTACAAATTATTAGAACATATACCTACGATTAGACTTGTTTGTGTGTATAAATTCTCTGTTACCTGACAACAGTTTAAAAAAAAAAACTACATAATTATTCACTTACAAAAACTACACATTACAAAAAAGGGGGGCTGCTAGCAACAACAATCTCGTCTCGGCTGGGCGTTGGTCCGCACAAATGTTCTTCCTTACTCCAATCATGTCATGTAACGCATAATTTCACGGAGGGCGTAGAGCAGTTCTGCTTGGTTGCGTGCTTCCAAGATCATCAGATTCACGTGAACCTATTTATCCAGACGAAAAAAAAAACGGAAAATTTCAATAAACTTCTCCTAGGCTTCTGCCACATCCAAAGTGAGGACTTACCTTCTCGCTGTGCTGCAGCTCGACTAGCACGCTATCGTAGTCGGTTTTGGTGATCCGCTCCGGGAAGCAGCAGGCCGTCTTGATGAACATCTTCAGGGCCCGATCGAGCAGCTGGTTCACTTCGCCGTAGTCGTAATCGTCGTACCGGATGCCATACATGCACTGGATGTAGTTCCAGATGGCTCGGCGAAACTTGGACGTGTCCACGTTGGTCCGACCCGCAATGGTGTAGTACGTCAGGTTGTACGCCAACCGAAACTTGTCGTCCAGATAGAACCCAACGTCGTTGTAGAGTCTGGAATTGGATACAAAACGAAAACGTTGCAGAAATAAAACAGAAGCCACACTACTAGATTACACCCAATTCACACGGAACCAATTCTTAACTAGCCAAAGCGTAAGTGAAGCTGCTTACCGATTAACGAGCGAGTACCCATGGTCATCCCACGAGTAGTCCTGTATCCGGAAGGTCTGCGGAATGTTCTCCGCACCGCGCCGGGCAAAGTCCTGATATGTGAAGTTGGGATCGTCCACGTAGTGCCCGATCTGCTGCGGCTGTTCCAGCGAAGGTTCCCGCTGGACCACGGCCGGCAGTTCGGCCGCCTGCATTTCAACGTGCTTGAACCGATTGCTCAGCTCCATCTCGGTGCACTCCGTGTTGTTCTCCGATAGCTTCTTCATGCGTTGCATCAGTGCGTCGACGGACACCTCGACGATGGTTTGCGGCGGTGGTTTGATTGCTGCAATTCAATGCGAAATACGTCTACGTTGAACAATATTTCCACCAGCGGAATCGCGGCAAAGAGACAGAATATAATTACCTTCCTGCCCGTTTTGGTAGAGATGATGATGATGATGATGATTATGTTCGGTTTCAGTCTTTTGAGGTACAACATTGTTGTTTTCGATCCGTTGACTAGATGTGTCCAGTTCCTGCGTGAGGCCACAGGAGAATACGAAAGACGACAGGGAATGGAAGTGGGCAAGCAGGACGATCGCGTGCACCACTTCGGAAAGTGACCAACTGTTTTGACCCTTGGTCAAGCGCTGCAAATGGACGGATGAAATTGAGTCAGTCACGATTGTTAACGGTGGGAGGTAAGGAAGGATTCCCACTTACCTCTATATGCTCCTTATTGAGGAGCCACGGACGGTGGGCTAGGATTTTGTTGATATCCGATATGGCACGTAGTTTGGCGGGAATGTAATCCAGCCCGTTTAGCCAGTTGCGGTCGCCGCCGTGCATGAGGAACTCCTTCTCGTACAAGTTGACCAGGTAGGTGCACTTATGCCTGGCGGCAGCCTGGAAAAGGGGAAATTAGTTATTTATACAATGCAGTAGTTTTTTTTTTAATTTATGTAAAGCTACCAAACAGTAGTTACGACTCCGCAAAACGGCTCCGCGATGGAGCCTTACAATCAAATGAATTGAAAAATAGTTTTCTTTTTGAAAAAAAGTGCTCCCCGGCCAATGAATATAACTCAACGAGAGAGTCGCTTCTACTCAGATGTATGGAGAAATTTCTAAAAACTGTACTGCCGTTCTACGCATAACTGTCCCATGTTCTATGCAATCCTTATGCACCGTGGGACTCTTATGCGTATAACGGCAGTGTAGGATCGCGCAGTTTTTAGAAATTTCTCATACAACTGACTAGAAGTGAGTTTTTCTAATTGGCCGTGTAGAACAAAAGATGTGCCATATAAAAGGTACATTCGATAAAATTCTACCATATCCATTGGACCTCCGTCACATAATCGCAGTACTCGTCTAAATATTTTAAATGTGACTTTTACCGATTTGCACGCAATTTGAAAATGATTCTTTGCTCGACTGTCGAGCTGTTCAGTCCGTATTTTCACTCGAGTTCTCGATTCGATTTTGTTTCGTTTTGTGCTGTCGCGTTGCGCCGTGTAAGTGTCGCCACCTTCTCGCGTTCTGGCAAGTTTAATTGAACTTGCAAACACGAAACAAATGGTGCGTAAACGTGCCAATGAGCCAGCAGCGGGCCCTTCAAAGAAGGTGCTAATCAAGCCCAGCGCGTCGCAGGATGACGCCGGAAAACGAGTACTGCAAGCCAACCAGTATGCAGTACTCCCGGAAGAAAATGGCGATGGTGACGCCGTTCCCATTGCAAGACGAGAGCGGATTCCCCCGCTTTTCACGCCGGTGAAGGATGTTGCCAAGCTGGGTGCCGAACTGGCAAAACACAAGCTGCTGCCTCGCTTCAAGCTTTGCAGCATCGGTACCAAAATCATGTGCTCCAGCCTGGAGGAGTACAAACAAATAGGAAGTTTCCTGAAGAACAACAACGTGGACTTCTTCACGCATGATCTGCCATCGAGCAAGCCACTGAAGGTGGTTTTGCGTGGATTACCGTCGTTCGAGGCTACTGCGGTGAAGTCCGAGCTGGAGCGGCTTGGGCTCCAACCTGAGGCCGTGTTCCAGATTAACCGGCGTCCCAACCAAAACACCAGCTTCCGTGATCAGTTGTTCCTTATGCATTTCTTGCAGTCTTGCGGCTCTGAGATCCAAAATCCGGGACCTGTTTCAGGTCATCATCAGTTGGGTGCATTACAAACCCCAACATCGTGATGTTACGCAGTGTATGAACTGCCTCTCATATGGCCATGGCACCAAAAACTGCCACATGAAGACAAACTGCGGCAAGTGTGCTGTAACTCACTCAACTGCGTCCTGTGAGCAAGTCGATGACATCGAGCCAACGTGTGTCAACTGCGGTGGAAACCACCAAGCCTCCAATCGCGGATGTCCCAAGCGAGTGGAGTTCATTAATATCCGTCGGAAGGCCACAATCAACAACCAGGTCGGTCGCCTTCGTAATCATCGTTCGCCTCCTGTACTAACGGAAGTCCAGTACCCAGCTCTCCAGCCCCGTCGACATGTTCCGAACCTAGCCCCGCTTCCGCTCAACAACCAACAAGCCAATCCCGCGAGTATCCAAATGGTTCCCAACATTCGAACAGTTCAGCATCGTCTCGCTGTTGCTGCGGCCCAGCCAATTCCAGGTTCATCCACCGCCCCTGGTTTATCATACGCTGGTGAATCTGTCTCAGGTGAATCTGTCGACGATTCTCCGTTCACCTCGGAGGAACTTGTGACGCTCGTGGCCGAGGTCATCATCATCATGCGTACCTGCAAGACTCGATCTGAACAGCTTCATGCTGCATTGTCACTCGTCACCAAGTGTGGACCGTGAAGCTATAAAAATTGCAAATTGGAACGCTTGCTCACTGACGAACAAGCATAGAGAGCTACTCGATTTCCTCAACACCAAGGAGGTCGACATTGCTATCATCACCGAGATGCATCTGAAGCCCGAACTGAACGTATTCCTTCCCGACTTCCGGCTCGTCAGACTTGATCGCACCTGCTCTGGAGGTGGAGGAGTGGCCATCGCTGCAAGACGGAACATCAGTTGCCGGCTGCTACAAAACTTCCAGCTGAAAACAATTGAAACTATCGGAGTGGAGGTGAGCACATCACTTGGCCCATTCACCATCATCGCGGCCTACTGCCCCAAGCAAACCAACATCAGGGACGGGTCGTCAGTGGCCTTCCGAAAAGACATCATCAAACTCACCCGGAGGAGCGGGAACTTTATCATCGCTGGCGATCTGAACGCAAAACATCAAGCTTGGGGCAACGGTCGGAGCATTAGAAACGGCATCATCCTCAATGAAGACCTGCAAGAGGGCCACTATACCATCTTGGCCCCGGACTCTCCCACCCGGTTGAGTCGGTCTGGGGTTAATGCGACCATCGACATCTTCGTAAGCAACATGGGACACAACGTCTCGCAACCTGTGGCATTCCAGGAGCTGAGCTCGGACCACTACCCAGTGGTGGCCGAAGTTGGATCCTCGGTAAACCGATTCGAAGCTTCCCGGCGCAACTACCATCGAGTCAACTGGGCGCAATATCAACACTGCGTCGACACAACAATCGACTACGATGTCTAACCGGAGACGTCGGAAGATGTTGACCGGTGTCTACAAACTATCGAGGAGGCGATTTCCCGGGCCAGGGAACAACACGTGCCAGTATCCAGACAGGTGAGTAACACTCTGAACCTTGACAGCCCTACCAAAGATCTTATTAGACTCCGTAACACCATTCGTAGGCAGTACCAGCGTACTGGCCTGCCTAACTTGAAGACCAATTGTAATCGATTAACAAAGATCATTCAGGCCAGGTTGGTGGATCTCAGGAATAACGATTTTGCTAGTAAGATCCGCTCTCTCCCAGATTGTGCTAAGCCCTTCTGGAAACTTACAAAAATTCTTAAAAACAAGCCTAGGCCTATTCCCCCACTGACCCCACTGGATCGTCCCGGCGACCCAGTGGTTCATCTGATAACTCCTGAAGAGAAGGCTGTGGCGATAGGTCAACACTTCGTCAGCTCCCATAATCTCGGACAAAACATCGTCAGCCCTTATGAATCTGAGGTTGCTGAAAATGCAACCAATCTTCTTCAGATTCCTAACATTTTTCCAGAGGAATCCGAGATTACGACTGACGAACTGTTGGCCTATATCAAATCATCTAAAAACATGAAGGCCCCAGGTTTCGACAACATCCTGAATCTGGAACTCAAACACTTGAGTTCCAGATTCTACAACCATCTGGCACTGATTTTAAATCAGTGCCTCAGACTTGGCTATTTCCTCTCGTGTTGGAAGTCAGCTAAAGTCATACCCATCCGGAAACCAATCAGCCTTCTCTCAGGGTTATCAAAACTGTTCGAAAGAGCACTGTACCACCGGCTCCTAACATCTGCCGATGAAAACAACTTGTTACTCGAGGAACAGTTTGGTTTTCGGAAAGGTCGTTCGACTGTCCACCAGCTGACTCGAGTAACAAACATTCTCAGACGGAACAAGTCTGTTTCGAAAACATCTGCCATGGCGTTGTTGGACGTTGAAAAAGCATTCGACAATGTCTGGCATGATGGCCTGGTGTTCAAATTGCAGCAGTACGGTCTTCCAATCTTCCTAGTGAAGATCATAAACAACTATCTATCAGACAGGACGTTCCGAGTCTCTCTGAATGGCATCTCATCGGATGCTTTCAACATCGGTGCCGGGGTTCCACAAGGAAGCATTCTTGGCCCCATCCTATTCAACCTGTTCACCTCCGATATGCCGGCTCTCCCTGATGGTGGATCATTGTCGCTGGGCGTCACAGTTGAGTTTAAACTCAGCATGTTCGGCACCAAGGTGATGCTCCGTACGAAAGCGGAGTATGCGGTGGCCGTGAACTACTTGAAGGATTCCAAGGCGAAATCTTCACGCATGACATCCCCGGTGAGAAGCCCTTCAAAGTAGTCATCAGGGGTCTACCAAACTTTGGCCCCAAGACGATCGGCCTTCCGGAGACGGAAATGTGAAGACGTACCCGGTTTGTCTTTTCCTGGTACACTTCCAGAAAGGGATGGTGACGCTCAATGCGCTGCAAGCCATCCACTTGATCCCTTCCATCATCGTACGGTGGGATCCATACCGTGGCGGCCATCGTGACGTGACGCAGTGGCTCAATTTTAGACACGGTACCCGCAACTGCAGCAACTGCACTCAAGAACACGCCACTTGTTACTGCCCTGCGGATGGAGCCGTGGCGTTAAAATGCGCCAACTGTGGTGCTCATCAAGGTTCCGACCGACAGTGCTCAAAACGCGAGGACTTCAAACGCACACCCGAAAGCAGGCGGCAACCAACAGTCAACCAGGACGAAAGAAGGACAAAACCCCGGCATTCAGGACGGAGGATCTCCCGTCTCTTCGTGCTCATCAGCAAATAAAATCGAATTCGCGGGTGCATAACGTGGGCCTTCTAACCGAGACCCACCTGAAGTCTGGCGACAGCTTCTGGTTGCCTGACCACAACATTATGCGGCTTGATCGTATCAGTTTCAGGGGGGTGCTGCGGTTGTCATCAAGAAAGGAATCAAGTTCTGCACTCTGCCTCACATCCACACACAGTCTCCGATCGCTCCTGCCCCAGTTACGCCAAGGAATCCGAAATTCAAAGAATCAAGATCGACCAAGTTCGTGACAAGGACAGAACGATTTTGCAACTACAAGCCGCCTTACAACTCAAAAACGATAATCCCAGCCCTGTACTGATCGACACACCCCATGTTGAACCTGTCATGGCCAACCTTGTTGCCATGATCTAGCAACAAATTGAACAAACCAGTCTACAAATGGAGCGCATGAGCAGCAATTTCCAATCAGCCATCGAAGCCCTGACAGCCACCCAAATCGAGACCCAACGCAAACT